CCGCTTCCCCCCCCCTCCAGCTCTAACTTAACCACCCCCAGATCTGCCAAACCACCGGCTGGGGCGGCCAACCCGTCCGCGCCCACGGCGGCGCATCCGACTCCTCCTCTTCCCCCGACGACCTCGCCTCACGCCTCGAGCCCGTCACCGACGCCCGGCGCATCCGCGTGACCTTCTCCTCTTCGGTCTCCGACGTCCTGCCCTGGAAGTTCACCCCGCAGCAGCGCGAGGTGCGCGTGCTACCAGGGGAGACGGCACTCGCGTTCTACACGGCGACCAACACGTCGGATAAGGACATTGTTGGGGTCGCGACGTACAGCGTGACGCCCGCGCAGACGGCGCCGTATTTTAGCAAGATTCAGTGTTTTTGCTTTGAGGAGCAGCGGTTGGCGGCGGGCGAGACGGTGGATATGCCGGTGTTTTTTTATTTGGATCCGGATTTGTTGAAGGATTTGAATATGCGGAATGTGCACACTGTGACGTTGAATTATACGTTTTTTAGTAAGTTGTGGGGACCGAAACGGCCAGGGGAGGATGGGAGCGTATTTGCTAACGTTGGAATAGAAGCGAGGTACGACGACAAAGGTAACTTCCAGGGTGCGCCGGGGTTTTAAGCGGGCGCAATAAAAGGGGGACAGCGGTAAAACAAGACCGAGGTGGTGTACGATGGCGGTAACGGAAAAATGGGAGTTTAGCTGAGCATTTAGAGATGGTAGATACCCTGTCATAGGTGCGTCTGAAACACCACCCATTGTATATTTTGTACACCATATCCAATATATAACCCGACACCATCCTGTACAATGTTCTCATACAAACACATACACATACATATACACATATATCAACATGTCCAAGTACACTTCCACGACGTCATCACCTTCTGATCGCTCATCCATTCATACTTTACAGTTCCTACATCCCGCTCGCCTTCTCCTTCTCCCTTTTCATCCTCTTCATCTCCTTCTTCACACCCTTCATACTCTTCCTCGGCCGCTTCGTGTCCGGCCCCTTTGGCTTGCACAACATGTACGCATTCATCGGCTTCCGCCACCCGATGAAACGTCCCTCGGGCGTGTACACGTCGATGACCGGCCAGTTGAGCTCCTCCTCCTCGGGCTCGGTCGGCTTTGCCGTAGCCTTGGGAGTTTTGGCTTTCGATTTAGGGGCTGGTTTCGGCGGGGGACTGCCGAGGACTTGGGCTTCGAAGGCGGCCCAGGGGTCTTGGGGTTTCTCTTCTTCCTTGGGCTCCCCTGTGTCGGTTTCTGAGGATTCGTCGACCTTCTGCTTTCTCTCGTTCTTGATGGAGTTGATGGGTTCCGGCCGGGTATTCGCGCCATTGGTGTCGGAGTCCGGTGACTCTTCCTCACCGAAGAAGAAAGGAGTATCGGGAGAAGCAGAAAGTCGCTCCGGGGGAGGGGGTGAGGCAGCATCAGGACGGGGTTTCGGAGGACGCAATGCCACGGAGCGCAGTTGCCTGGTGCGAACCTGAACGACCAGCTCGACCCACCCGCACCCTTCGATCAGAATATCCAACCCCAACACGCGGTAGGGTAAACTCTCGACCTTGAGGTTGATGGCGTTCTTGCGGGTGAGCGGGCCGGTGCGGGCCTTAGTGATGTCATAACGGATCTGGAAAGCGCCGGCATGCTTGATGGTTGCGCCGGTGCCCGGTAGCGAGATGTTTCCAACGGCGGGGGCATCTTCCGCCTGGGTCTGAACGGCAATCGCCTTTTCGGTGGCCGTTAGGTGTGCCTGGATCGGAGTGAACGCGTACGCTAGGAACACGAGCTCGTGGTCGCCGTCGGCTGCCAAGTTGCGCGGCGTTAGGCGGATAAAGCCGCCTATCAAGAGGGACTTGCCAGGCTTGAGGGAGTGTTGTGCGGGGACAAAGCGCGAGGATAAGAGGAGGTTGGATCGGTGGGACTCTTTGACGTGGTTTTCGAGGTCGCTTCGGACGAGCCCCGGCAGGTCGATTAACTCGCCGCGGCCGGATCCATAGGGGATACGGATGGGCGAAGCTGTGGTCCCGGGAAGGGAGGAGACCACCGGCATTACCGGGTAGTTGGCTTCCGGTTGGGCTGGTGGGAGAAGTGTGTAGTCGGCTGCAGATGGATCCGGGGGTGTTGAGAGGAAAGGGTTGGGCGCACCAGCGTCGGGTTCTGTGTTAGCCCCGGGGTCGACAGTCCCCGCGCCCCCGTTTTTCACAACGGACCCCGGATCTGGCAGGCCGTGGCCCGCGGGGAAAACATTGACTGAGATCTCGCGCTTGGGGGCAACCTCCTTCATCCTGCCCTTGGGGTAGATGGCTTCAAAAAGCCTGCTTTTGCCCACGTTGGCCTTGCCTACCAACCACCCGGCGCCGCCTCGCTTCCAAATGTTCTCCTTTAACTCGCGTGTCCACCACGACGCTTTCGCGCTAACGCAGTGGACATTCCCTAGCCGGACGCGCCCTCCCAGCCTACCAAGCGCATCCCGCAGCACTTCTGTGAGGTAGGGCATCAGAGCATCGACCTGCTCCTTCCTGGGCGCGAGCAAATCCGACCGTGTGATCACGAAACTCATCTCGATGAGACGGCCGCGTGAGTAGTTGACTGGCTTGGACCTGCGGTTCTGGGTGCGTAGTGTGATGTCGAGAAGGCTGCTTAACCGGGGCAGCAGCGACATGGGGAAGTCGGCGGCATCTAGGACGTGGTACACATGGCTGTGTTTGAAGGGGGACTCCTCGATGGTGTCGCGCAGTGACTCGACGCTCGGGTGGAAAATCGACGTGCCGGTGGAGTGGTGAATTAGGTTGTGGCATCGGTCACAGACCGGGGGGGTGGGAGCAGTTGCTTCTTGGGGAGGAGGAGAAGCTTCGGCTGGCTCTGCGGGTAACAGTCCCTCGAGATTGATGCCCTGGGCCTTCAACGCGTCCACGTCGATTGACTGCAGCGCTCGCTGCACAACTTCGTCGTTATCCTGGGATTCCCCGCTCCTCCTCCTCTTACTTGTCTCTACTAGGCCCAGGTATTCTTGTAGGATCCGGCGTGACAAATCGTAGTGACCAGCAGCGTCGGGTACGGAGGTTTGCGATAATGCCCCGCATCCGGGACATTGGAAGGGGAGCGTCCTGATCGGCTGTTTAACCTCTGGCTGAGGCTCCGTGGGCGACGGCGCGGCAGACCCAGCATATAGTCGGCGGAACTGAGCGGGCTGCAAGGGCGGCCGGCGTGGGAAGTGCCCGGTCATGCGGCCCCCGGATATCGACCGGAACGCGGGGCAAAGATACAACGGCAGTTCAGAGGCCGCAGGCCTCCTGCGTTCCAAGTTGAACGCCCGGCCTAGCCATCTCGAAGATAGCGTGCCTCTTGGGGGCATGGCGCCAAAAGGCAGAGCAATGCGAATATGCTCGTTCAACCAATTGCCTAAAGTACCGGGTCTTCGTAGGTTGGGTTCCGTAATTCTAGATATCGCAGGTTTCTGCCACAACGAAATTCCATCTCTTCTCCCGCCATAGGAAAAAAAAGTTCAGGGTCGAAAATTGAAGCAGGGATCAAATTATTGTGGGGTTATGGTGACAGGGGTTCCGGCAGGCAAAGGCGGTGAGAGGCGGACGACCACAATCGCATGGCCCCTCCCATTGAGTTCCGCCAAAAATTTACCGGGGTCTGCCAAACAGCCATCCTCCCCATTCCAGCGGCGGCATCTTCGAAAGTTGACGATAACTTCGACATTGCGACCCACACAACCAAACAGCCCCCTCCGTGCAGCTATCCCCGGACCTGGATAGTTAGTTCTCGCAGAGCTTCCAAGATGGTCAACATCGGCCATCGGTTACGTAATCTCGACTCAGTGCGCCTATCCAGCCCGGCCCCTCCCCCATCTTCAAATTGCTAACTGCTTGGTGTTGTAGAAGGTGTGAAATGCTCCGTCCCCAGCTTCCTCTCCGCGCGTTATTACCTACCGCCCCAAACAACACCCGAGGGTTTCAACCCCGGCCAACCTTACGTCGCCCCCCACATCGTACTAACGGACACTCTCCCTTGCTCGCAGCTCCTCAACCTTAGGACCGGCCCCGGCGCCGCCATACTCCCGAAAGATGTAACACGGATACACATGCGCTTTGCGCTCCGTTTAGAAGGAGGACACATGGGGCCAAGAAAGTTCTTCAGGGAAAATTTACCGCGGCTCAAATTCCATAACCCAACTATACCTATGATTGTGCAGCGCAACGACGACAACGCGGGGCCCGCCACCCTCTCCATCTACTTCCGCGAGGCCACCGGGTCCGCCACGGCTGCCGAGACCCCATGGGGTATTACGTCGTCGAGGGTGATGGACGGCTCTATAGAACCGCCCGCGCCAGGCCCGGGCGAGCGCGTACTCACCATCAACATGAGAGGGGCTCACTCGGAAAAGATCCTAAAGGATTTCTTGACCAAGACTGGCGCGGTGGCGGTTCCGATATCGCCGCGGGATGAGGCGCTGAAGCGCAAGCTTGAGGAGCTGGAGGTTTACGCTGAGATTGATCGGGCTCGTGTCCTAAAGGAGCATCAGGACTACAAGCGGGAGAAGAGGATGCTCGAACAGGCCCAGTCGGAGGCGGCGGCTCTCAAGGCCGAGATGGAGTAGAAGAAAAAGAAAGGAAAAGAAAAGAAAATGGGAAACCCGGGTGTCGGGCGGGGTCCAGGAAGGGCATAAGGGGTGTCTGGCTATGAAGGAGTTCCGCGTGTATATCATGTGTATACTATGTATTACCCTCAAATGGAAGATGGAGACGTCTGCGCAGTGGTAGCACCGTCGAGGAAAGTGGTGATGGTTGTGCGTATTGAATTCGCCTGTGTTGTGTGAGGCAATGCAACAGTTTTAGCTCTCTCGAAATCTTAGGCGCTCGGCCATGTTAGGCCATGGGAGGCAGATGGGGATAGTTACCTGTCTGGCCAACTCCATGGCTGCGCCTTCCCTCAAAGCTCGAGGTCGGGAAGGGGACCCGGAGTGTTCTTTCCTGACAACAGGATCAACCCCAAAGTACCTTGTTCACAAGGCGCACTTTATGCATTTGCTGGTTATTTCTTTTGATGGTCGCACCTCTCTGATCTAACTTTTACTATCACCAATTCGACCCGTTTCCGCGCTTGGAGAAACACTGAGGCTGACAGAACTCGGAAGGTGTGTTGAGTCCCCACACAAGCAAGGACACCGTCTCAAGAGGAGCCACGGTTCGCGCAAGAAGAGTCAATTGCTTCCGCTAAGCAGGGCTGGTCTGACTCGAATGTATCCCCGGCCGCATGTGCCAGTTAGTGTACTTTACAAGTTACGAATACGTGGAGTCGAATTGAACTTGCCACCGAATGTTATGTCTTGGGTGGTGTCCGCTCTCGCCCGACTAAGATTGCTAGAGCAACCGACTATTTGAAAGAGAATCGGTCGACTTTCTTCTTTGGACCAATGGGGATTTCTTCGTTCTTAAACACAGCCCACCAGAAGCAAGTTATTACACTAGTATGTGCCAGATGGGATTCCTTTCAACACAGAATTTGTCGAAGCTGGACCCTGAAGATCAACAGTTGTGGAGTCCAAGGGAAGGGCCGTTGTCTTTGATGTTGGCACATTTTCGGAACTGTGAGTCCAGGGCCCCAGATCGCTATGCGTGCTGTCCCGCTTTGGGACTCTGGGGCCGACGGCTGGCTTCGAGGATCTACACTACGGAGCTGGCACTCATGTTGAAAGGGACAACCACAAAAGGGGCCACTTATCCCCTCCCCCCTGAATGCAGGAGTGCCACGCTAACATAAACCCTGGACCCGGGGACCGGGGGTTGCTCGAAGTCGGCCCCAGACGGTGTGAACGGGATGCCGAACACGCATTGCAGTTAGGAGGGACCAGAGGGTTCAAAATGATTACAAGCCCCCGATGATGTTAAAAAGACACACATGCTCCAGCCTTTTCACATCTTGAACACAAGCCGCCGTCCTACTCCATCCTGTTATAGCTGGAATCACCTCAGACACACCTACCACCGCCACAACAGCCATCTCCGCAGCCTTGCATCATTATGTCTTTCCCCGTCCCCCCTGCAGGCCCTCTCGGTGCGCTCGAGTCTCCCGACGCTCTGCCAGTAATCGTCGAAGAAGTCACAGCCGCCTGGTTCAGCAAGATCTTCGGCAAGCCAGTCGAGACAGTAGAACTCGTCGAGCCCATCCACGGAACGGCAAGCAAGCTGCTCTACAAGCTCACATACAAGAACAGCGACGATGCTGCGTCGCTCCCCACCCATGTCTGCGTCAAAGGCGGCTTCAACCCGGCTCTCATCAAGATTCACCCAAGTTTGAACGCCGTCTACCGCCGCGAAGCCGAGTTCTTCTACCACGTTGCCCCCAGTGTCTCGATGCGCCTTCCGCCTGTCTGGTACAGCGGGAGCGACACCGTGACCGGCCAGGGGATCGTGGTTTTCGATGATCTCAAGGCAAAAGGCCAGAAATTCGGCAACCCGCTCCAGCCGTGGCCAGTTGAGCGGGTGCGCGAGGGCACAGCCGAGCTCGCTTACCTTCACGCCAAAACATGGGGAGCGACCGAGAAGGACTTCCCCTGGCTCAAAGAAGGGCTTTCGCTGCGCGAGGTGATCCTGTCGATGATGGGCGAGGAGGCGTGGGCCGCGCGCTTTTTCGACGAAGAAGCCAAGCCACCCGTCACAGATGGCATGACCGACCGCGAGCGCATGGTGCGCGCCTTCAAGACGCTCTGGGCCACGACCAACCCGGCACATGTGGTGGTGGCGCACGGCGACACCCACATCGGCAACACCTTCATCACGGCCGAGGGCGCGCCAGGCTTCCTCGACTGGCAAGGTCTGCACTTCAACTCGTTCATGCACGACATCACTTACTTCATTGTCGGCGCCCTGACCATCGAGGACCGCCGCGCCCACGAAATCGAGCTGTTCGACCACTACCTCGCCACGCTCCATGCCGCGGGCGGGCCGAAGCTCGACCGCGCCGAGCTTTGGGACGAGTACCGCAAGCACCAACTCCACGGCTTCGCCTGGTCCCTGACGCCCCCCATGATGCAGCCCAAGGACATTGTCGACACCATGACGGCGCGCCACGTCGCGGCCATTGTCGACCACCAGAGTCTGGAATTGCTGGAGAGCCTGCCGGGGTATGTCACAGAGGTGTAGTGTAATTAATAACTAGACTCGAAAGGGCCGTTGGCGAGAAGAAGGTTGGGCAAGGGGTTAGTTGTTGGTTCACTCGTGTTGTACACTAGCTAGATGTTGGGGAGGGGGGAAGCAATAAGAAAGAACAAAGCAACATGAAAAAATAGCGACGCTTGATTTTCCATTCTTGAGAATCGCGTGCCTGAGCCGTGGTGGGTCCCAACTGTGCAAACGGTGTAGTCTTATGCAGCCAATGAACGGTGTTTCCGAGGTGGGGTTTCAACGGTGATCTGTGTGGCGTAACGAGCTTCCGCAACGAGTTGGCGGCGGTTTCGGCTACTTGCTCCTGTGTGCCGGGCTGCTTAGCGTGGCTAGGCTTGCCGAACTTCCAGTCCAACATGTTGACGAGCTTGGTTCGTCTGCAAAACTGCCGGTCGGTTTCTTTCCTCCGAGCGTCGCCCAGCCCAGGCCAGCCCAGCCGGGCCCCTCCTTCCCTCCCTGGCTGTGAAACGTTCCCAATGACACCCTCTCCAAAGAAAAGGAGCCGAAAAAGAAAAAGTTCATCCAAGCGAGAGACTCTTTTCGGCGAGCCGAGACCATGCAAGGCGTCAGCCAAAGACAATGGCACAATTCGCTTTCCAGTACCGTGGGTCTGGTTCCAAGCCACAGGGGCCCCCATTCTGGTAAGCGAAGGGGGGGAAGGTTGGCCGTTGGCGCAGAAAAGCAGGGGGTTTCTTCTGGAGGTTTGTGCCCAGACCAACCAGCCGGCATGCCACGCGCAGGAACCACTGCTTCAACGTTGCACACTTGTGTGTCCACTCCATAGTATCGATAATATCCGTCCGGGAACAGCCTCGGCCCCACTCTCCGGGCTCCCCTAAAACGGAAATGTCTGTCAATGATTGGAGGGTTTGTCTCGTTATTCAGAGTTGGTTCGTTCTTGTGTGCTTTGTGCGGTGTGCGGTTTGTGGACAATGTTACCGTTTATGACAGGGGGTTCTTCTTTTATGAATCTTCCCATCCGGATGGTGGCATCCTATTGGCTGCTGAGGGGGAATAAAATACGGTATTAACCTTATGGTTCCACAGCAGGAGGGAATGTTGAGCACATATCCATGCATCGTTTGCAGAAACGAATAACACAACGGTCGTTACTCCGGTATTGAACTGGAGAAAGGTGGTGTTCGCTTGTCCCGTGGCCCCTGTTGTTTTTATGTAAATGGATATTGTTAACTTTCCAACGGTCTTGCACGATAACCAACCAACACGTGTGCGCTCTCTCTCTCATCTTGCTTTGAAAACCATGCAAGACGTGTTGAAGGCCACTCGTTGGAGTGGACTGTGATGGAAATTCCTGTCTCAAAAAGTACCCCTACACCACCACCGGCCCGTCCCTTAGGTATTTTTTACCCAGAAAAGGCAAGCCAACGCCCCTTCTTCCCCACAGCTCAGGGTCCCAGGGTACGTCTCTCATTCTATCGGAGACCATGCCGAGGCAATGTGGACAATCGGAGGGCTTGAAGCCTTGAAAAGAAAATCATCAATCACTCCAAGAAAGGGATCATCCTGGGTTCGGAGATGCCTCTTGTCTGGCACGTCTGGTCACGCCCCAGGAACTCGGCAATCCACACGAAACGGATTCGGAGTGATCTCGCTAAGAAGCGTATGCTGGGGTCCCGCGAATCCACTTGTCTCTCCTAGCCGGGGAGGCGTCCAGAGACTGGGGGCAAACCGGGAGCCGGGGGGGTCGATTCCAACTGTGGATTTGTCGCTCCGGTGCCTGCCGGAAAGTTTTCAAGGATGGTGGGCGTTATGGTGAGGGATGCTGTGTACTAAGGAATGGAAAGCGAGAGAGGTGGGGGTGATGCGGGAGAACTCTCGAAGGAGGGTGGAAAGGAACTTCCATGGGGACGAGTCGCAACTGTGGGGGCCACCGGGTGTGTTCCGTGACCATCTTGAAGATAGTTATTCGGAGAATGCTTCGATTAACTAACTGTCCTCGTCGTCAGTGAGCCGTGATAGTGTCAGAGTCCGGAAGGTAAAGAAGAGAGTTGGACTGCTGTCAGTATTCTGATCAGCTCGAGGCGCCTGGCTTACACTAGTTCAGTCTACTGACACCATCTCTTCCTTTTTCTGTGTTGTGTTGCTCGCCTTCTATTTTTCTTCTTTCACGAAGAGCCGTTGGGAAGCGGGGAACAGGCGACCCCTTCAGCTTCTGGGACACCTGCATTTGCGATCCTCGCCCCTGTTAAGCGGAGACGACGCCAAGGGGTTACAGAGACGGGGGGCAGTTGATGTTTCTTGTTATTCCTTTTTCTTCTTCGTGGTTGTTGTTCCTTTGAGTTATCCTGCATGTTGCAACTCTGCTGGTTTCAAGTGCCGAAAGGGAGGTCGTTCGAGGATACATAAGAAGAGCACCCTGAATCCGTCGAAACGGAGACAGACTGAAGGAGACTCCATCAACTGTTGGCCAATCCAGCATCTCGGCAACTACTTTCGAACCACAACAAGAGAAGGAAGCAAGCGGCCCCCTTCTCATTCAGCTTCCAACCGGCTCTATCGAAGCATACTCGGTCCTCAAACCAACACCCTCGACGACGACAGCGAGGTCAGAAAGCCCGAACAACCAGAACAACGCTCAGGAAGACCGACGACAATCATGCCCGCCGCTTCGGCAGCCGCCGACCCAACGGCCATGGTTGGCCTCATGCCGGCACCGCCCGGCGTGACGCCTGACTTCTTCCACACGACGGAGGTGCAAATCAGCTTCATCACCGTATTCGCGGTTACCTTTGCGCTGGCGACCATAGCGCTGGTGCTTCGGTTGTACACTCGCATCTGTGTGGTCAAGTCGGTTGGGTTCGATGAGCGTAGGTCCTATACCTGCCCATTTTCCTTCTCCAAGTTGGTTGAGTCTAACATAGGTCCTATAGCGCTGCTTTTGAGTTCGTGGGCGGTAACGCTAGCTTTCTTCATCGTTTCGGTAAAAGGTATGTTTTCAAACGGTTTTCCCTGATATTAGTCGTGGAAAAGAACGCAGGCTCCTAACTTTCTGATTAGCCATGCCCGCTGGATTTGGGAGACACCTGTATGAAGTAACACAGACACAACTCGTGGGGTATCTAGAGGTATGTCCGCACCATTCACACCCCTAACTATCCGCCAAACTGACCCATCCTACTCCCTCAGCGTCTACTCTCTCTCGCACTCACCTACATCTGGCCACCGACACTCACCAAGCTCTCCATCCTGGTCTTGTACTGGCGTATCAGCCCAAACAAGATCTTCCGCATCTGCATTGCGTTGACTGCCCTGGTGCTGATCGGCTACTCCGTCACCTTCACCGTGCTGTTCTCGGGGCCGTGCAACCCGCTCCTGGGTACCCCCGAGAGCGCCATCTGCCTTAACAACATCGCCGTCGCCCAGGCCGTGCTGAACATCGTCACCGATGGTGTGATCATTGTGCTTCCGATTCCTACGATCCATGGGTTGAACATGGGGCTCAAGCAGCGCGTTACGGTCGGCCTTATCCTGGGTCTTGGTTCAGCGTACGTTTTTGCCTCCTTTTCTCAAATGCTTTCTTTCCTCCTTTCTTACGTGCTAACGCTTCTCCCAACAGTGCCTGTATCGCCTCCATCGTGCGCGTCGCCTACGTCCGCGCCATGGTCAACGACCCCGACGTGACCTTCACGCAGTGCTCAGCCGCCGTGTGGTCGCTTCTCGAAATGAACCTCGGCATCCTGTGCAACGCGCTCGCAGCGCTCAAGCCCTTTGTGCGGCAGCATCTGCCCCACCTCTTCTCGTCAGCCGGCTGGGGCAGCGGGCGCAAGTCGGGCCAACTTGAGGACGGCTCGAACACGGGCGGCAACACCAACAACAGCGCCAGCAAGCGCAGTCGCAAGTGGGGTCACTCGTATCATTTGCACAGTATTGGGAACGGAAAGGTTGAGCAGCGCGCCGGTCATTCGGGTGTTGATCGTGCGGGTACTCGGAGCGGGGATGGTAAAGATGATGGGGTTGTGGTCGATCACCAGTTCTCGGTCGAATATGATAACAGCCAGCGGAAGGCGGGGCTGGGCGTGGAGAGTGGTGGCAGCACAGAGAGCATTTTGACGCCCCAGTATCCGAACCATCGGCCAGTTTGATTAAAACGAACAGGAATGAGGGGGATTCGGGTTCCCGGGGTGTGAAGCTGAAGTTGTCCGGGTTGCTTTTTTGTTGTTTCGCATCTCGGAGTTCTGTATTATACCATGGAAGTAGGGAGGTCAATAAAAACTGGAACATATTTTTTGGCGAAACGTTCCTTTATGATTTCTTCAACCTCCAATTTTTGCTGGCGCCGACGTCGAGAGGTTAAGTGTGCCGTAACGGCTCCATGAGGGCCGACCGATCGTATAATTAATCAAGCTAGGAACAAAAACAATCGAGAGAAAAGGAATCAAAAAGCTCACTGCTCACCCGGCCCCCTTCTGGAAGGGGTGGGGAGACAGCTACGAAAACCCGATGGTTTTGCTTCGGGCGCCAACGACAGGAATCGAACCTGTGCGACGGCGCGGGTGGAGGGCACATGTATGCCCACACCCCCCCAACTGCGCTATTCAGTTGTTTGGGTACTATTTTGGGGGGGTGTTGGAAGCAGCTGCGCAAAGCTTGTTTATAAAGAGCGGGTGGGACGGAAGGCACGATGGTAAGGCCTTGCAGCCATAACCCTAACCCTACCCACTGGCCAGCACAGCCCCTTTTGTTTACTTTCGCAAATTTGAACACCACTGTAGAAACCATCGTGAGAAAAAAATCCAGGAGGGGCAACGGTTCCTTTTTTTCCCCTTGAATCAAAAGGCAAAAAATAAGTTAAAGAATGAAGAAAACGAGAAAGAGGATAAGTGGAAGAAGTCATATGAAAAAAGGAAAAGGGTCGCAAACTAAAACCAAGCTGCCACCAAACAGGGGGAGAATTGTGAGTGAAATAAATGTTTTCTAAATAGGTCGCTAGAGATTTAAAGCATCATTACTTTGTTTAAACGTAACGCATTCCGCCGGCGGTCACTCTCTCATAGATTGTAACTTCTTTGATACTCTCAGCAAGCTTTCCATGATTAACCTAAAGCCGCTAATTACGTTGTGGTCATCATCTAACAGCTTCCAACACTCCCTTCTGCATGACGACATAAAACTAATCTTTAGATGCATATAATCAAAAGATAATGAAACTCCCAGCATACCGGATCTCGAAATATCCAAGAAACCCCGAAGTCATCATGTCTCCCAGCAGCCATAGTAAACCGAAGCAAGCCCCAGCGACACCCTCCACGCCGTCAGAGTCTCGGCACAACTCAACCCTAACTCACTCACACCCAGGAGCGCGACCCTCAATGCTCCAGGTCCTCCGCTTCCATCTCCGTAACCACTCATGGCACACACTCTCTTTAAAACGGACCAGCCGCAAGATCAAGCTGTGGTGTTCTTCATTTGATGACCCCCTCGTAGCAACAAACCTGACAACGATATAAGCAACACAACGCCCAGCGCCTTATGACAATTACAAAGCCCCGAAGCGTGCCCGAAAATTAGCTCTAACATTTATTTTCTTCCTAAACACCAACGGGAGGTTTTGGAAGGTTCACGTACAGGGCCCACGGAGCTCCCAACTGCCTATTAAGGTCTATCAGTTTGTGGCGCTCCCCCAATACTTACCACACGTCGCTGAAACCTATCGAGTCCATGAGAACACCTTCGGTTAGTGGTCGGTTCAATTTACGATCCAGCGGCGACCGGCCGCCCCATTTGTCAACTATTGAGCCTCGAGTTTTCACTTCCACCCGAGTGAAAAGGCGTCCCAGTTATACCTCTCGCCGGGCGGACAGAGCCTGCCATTGTATCCCGATTCCATCATGAGGTATCGGAAGCCGGCGGCCAATCTCGAGGCTCCATATCCCAATTGTGGCAGCTAAGCTGGTTCAGGCCCGGAGAAGGGTCAGGAGGAAACAACAATAGAGTGAGTAGTAAGGTACCTAATTGTAAATAGCGACGCCAGATGTCGGTCCATGCACCGCATGTGGGAATTAGATGCCGCCAAGTTCCAACAGTGGTTAAATGCTACCTTAGTGTGGTTCGGACGCCTCTAGTGTCATGTTATATCGTCGTAGTACAGCGGCCAAGGAGGACGCGTATATCTTCGCAAGGAAATTATTGTCTGCCTTTCTCGGCGGGTTCAGATTTCCGGCACTCGCTCCCCCAAGTTCGGTCTGTCCCTCTCTATCTGCCATACGACCGTGCGGATTGAACCTCATCAAACTCCTTTTGCTCGCTGACATGGTGTGCTACTTCCTGCCTCATGTGACCAACACACGGTTTTTGGGGGAAGGCAAGTAACGTAGACGGGGGCATCTTGACTCCAATATGCGAGCTCTGTGGGAGGGCGAAGGGGTTTGCTGTATCTTGCAACCTTTTTTCTTTGCTTCATTCGCGGTCTCTGCGTAGTGGAAGGCTCGGGGATTCCTAGCTAAGCGTTGCTTGTAGTGTTCTCTCGCCACGGCACCCTGTAAGCAATTACTAGACTCACTGTTACCTTTGGCACTAGTTGCACGACACTCGCCTTCAAAACATCACCACCTCTTCACCTTGTGTGTGATCTACCATCAGCTGGACCTCACCACGCGCAACCTCCCTCTTTGAGACTCGGCCTCGCCGATAGAGCATCGCTCTAGGCGAATCTTTAGGTGTGAGTTGATGACCTCCTGGCCCCCAAACCCCTCCCAGCAACACCCAAACAGTTCCTTCCTTCCCATCCCAACCACACACCCCCATATAACCCAGTTTTCCACTCCTCCAGTCGCCAGATCCTCCCAACACGCCAAACAGCGGTGTTTGGCGCAGCGGCATTGGGAGGAGCACCACGCCAATACCGTCGTAAATCGAAGTGGCCCCGGGTTCGATTCCCGGGGCCAGCGAAGAAAAATCTTTCACCGGAAAGATTTTCGTAACTACCAACCACTATCCCTCCGGATGGGGTTAGGCGCTTGGTAGTGAGCTTTTTGCTTTTCTTTTCTTCTTTTTTCTTTTCGGTTTAGACAGAAGGGATTGGCCGGGCATTCATACTGTTCGTATCGTAGAACCATTAACCTCTCATGCAAACTACGGCCGGCATATCATCTGGGAGGGTTTCCCTTAGCTCCCTAGAAGCTTCACAGGGCCAATCATCTGGGGCTGTGGATCGTGCGGGAGTTCGTCTGCTTGGTGCCGGGCCACGGTTAGGCAGCGGGTCGGCTGACCGTCGACCACTGTGAAGGGAACTGGGCGATGGGCGCTGCTCTGCGGACAGAGTCCAAGCTGGCGTTTTGGGTCGTCGATAAGGGTAGGCTGCGTGTAGTGCCCATTGGGGGTCGTGCGGTTGCTGCTGCTCAAGAAAATGCGTTTCTCGGAGTGGACCACTCCTCGATACAGTCTTCGGCAATAGAAGCTGAGATGTTGACTCGGATAGATGGGCGGGCGTTGGTCTGGTTGTTACGCACAGAGAGCATGGGCTGGTGTCACGCATTAGGTTTTTCCGTCTACATAACTACCTTGAACTTTGAGGGAGCAATGGGTATATCGTAGCTTTAGGTCCATGTATGCTAGAGGACACTTCGTCCATATCTTCGCCCCCAAGCCGTTATCTCCGGGATATCTGGGCGTCTTGAGTTCGCTTTCGCCTACTCGCGACTCGGAGCTATCCCTGAACACCTGTCGTCTAAGTGGGTTGACCTTACGGTAGAGTTAGTAGAACCCCAGCGGTGTGTGTGTTCTTAGTCCGATTCAAGGAGCATGCAAAGATACTTTGGAGAAAAGAGGAATGTGAGCTCGCTGGGAATATGCAGCTAGGCATGGACATGTCGGATTTTCTTGGTTCGCTCTAGTACTTAGTGAGTTTGCTTCATCGTTAGCTTTGTTGTCGTCCCCATGATCATGCCAGTGGCCTCCTTCGTTGTTGACCTCTTCGTATCATCCTCGCCATTGCCGTGGGCTATTTTGTCCTATTTTATACTGATCCATTTGTAGCTCCTCAGGGGTCTGTTTCTGTGATCCATTTTGTTTTTGTGGCTTTCTGGGCGACGCCCCAGAATCTTGGAATATTCGAAGTAGTGCAAGAGCGAATTAGCCCCTATAATTTGTCAAAAATTGAGGTGAGGTCGGCAACCTCGGGACGAAACTAAATTTATCACCCGCCTTTTCCAGAAGCGATGGAACTTGTGTGCAGAAACGGGCGGCTCGAAGATCCGAAAGGGAGTTGGACAGGGGTGTGGGGAGCTTGACGAGCGTTAAATTGTGGGGCCTCCAGGCCACCACGCGTCTGGGCCGATCGAGAAGCCAATCGACGGTACGAGTGCCAAGCCTTCGCAGGCGCAGGGAGGTCCCCCAAAGGAGCGGAAAAGGCCACGACGTTGTCCGTGTCCTCTCCTTTTTTCCTCAGCCCAGCTTCAGCTCTGCAAGCTCGACTCGACCGTGAGGAGCCTTTCGACCCTTCTTTTCCCTTCTCGTTCTTCACCTTCCATTGTGTTCTCCTTGGTTTTGAAGAGACACGGTTCGTTGGGGTGTGAGTCTGCCATTGGTAGTCTCGCTCGCCACGGCTTTTTTTCCGTCGGGGCTTTTTGCAACCCCCTTGCTTTCGACACGCTCGTTTCATCAATTCCGTTTTCTAGATTGATTCTCCGCATCGCATATTACCACTTGCGGCCCGCTGCAACCCCCGAAGACAAACAAACAACCTCCCATCCCTCTATCCTGACCTGTGCAGAACAAACAGTCAGTCGCACCCACCATGGCCTCTGGAAGCGACAGGGCCGCCGTCGCATCCGGCCTCGACGTCGGCGACGCGGCCAGGCGACGCAATATTCCCGGCACGCCGCAACAGGCTGCCGTTCCGCAACCCCAGGTCGTTGATGACAAGAAGGCAAAGAAGGCCCCATCGTTCCTCGGGGTGCTCGACCAGTGGGAATGGGTTATCGCCCCCGTTATCTTCACCGCGCTGGCCTTCTTCACCCGTTTCTACAAGATCGGCCTGTCTCCTATCGTGACCTGGGACGAAGCCCAGTCAGTAACCCTCGGAACCCCCCCTCTCCCCCCCTCCTTCCTGTTATCTCACGCCCCCAATTGGATCGTAGACAGTGCCGCTGACCTTTGTTTGCAACAGTTTCGGAAAGTTTGGTAGCCATTACCTAAAGCGCGAATTCTACTTTGATGTCCATGCAAGTTGATCGCTTGACACCAACGATAGTCCGAGTCTCGGCTAACCGATCGCACACAGCCCCCCGCCGGGAAACTCCTCGTCGGTCTCAGCGGATACCTCGCCGGTTACAATGGTTCCTTCGAGTTCAAGTCGGGAGAGACCTACCCAGAGGAGATTAACTACACCTTTATGCGCCAATTCAACGCCTTCTGGGGCGCCGTCTGCGTGCCCATGGCCTACTGGACCGCTAAGGAGCTCCAACTCAAGCGTGCTGCTGTCTGGCTTGTGACGCTCATGGTGCTCTGCGAGAACTCTTACACCACAATCAGCCGCTTCATCCTCCTCGACTCCATGCTCCTGTTCGGCACCGTCGCGACCACGCTTTGCTGGGCCAAGTTCCACAACCAGCGCAGGAACAGCTTCGAGCCTGAATGGTTCTTTTGGCTGTTTATGACTGGTCTTAGCATCGGCTTCGTCACCAGCGTCAAGCTTGTCGGGCTGTTTGTCACCGCGCTTGTTGGTCTGTACACCATTGAGGATCTGTGGAACAAGTTTGGGGACACGAAGATGCCGATTGTAGGTACAACCTGTTGATTCCGGGCGGGAGTGCCCAGCTAACTAGGATTAGACTGAATTGGCTGCTCATGTTGCGGCTCGCGTTGTCGGTCTCATCATCCTGCCCTTCCTCGTTTACCTGCTCAGCTTCGCCATCCACTTCGCTGTGCTCACGAACAGCGGTCCCGGCGACGCCCAAATGTCCTCTTTGTTCCAAGCTAATCTCCGCGGTACCGAAGTCGGGAGGGACAGCCCGCTCGAGATTGCTTACGGATCGATGGCCACGATCAAGAACATGGGATATGGCGGTGGTTTGCTACACTCACACGTCCAGACCTACCCCGAGGGTTCCGGCCAGCAGCAGGTGACGTGCTACCACCACAAAGATGCGAACAACAATTGGTTCTTCTACCCCAACCGTGGCGACACCCCCTACGACCCCGAGGCCGACCCCCGCTTTATCGCCGACGGTGAGACCATTCGTCTCCTCCACTCCCAGACCGGCCGCAACCTGCACTCGCACCAGATCGCCGCGCCCCTCACCAAGTCCCACTGGGAGGTCTCCTCGTATGGAAACGTGACGATTGGCGATAACAAGGACCACTGGAAGATCGAGGTTGTCAGCGACGCCGCTTCCCGCGACCGCAGCAAGATCCGCACCCTCACCACCTCATTCCGCCTGAAGCACGAGGTCCTGGGCTGCTACCTCCGTGCTGGCAACGTCAACCTGCCGCAGTGGGGTTTCAAGCAGATCGAGGTCACTTGCGCCAAGGAGAACAACCCGCGCGACACCTACACCCACTGGAACATTGAGGCGCACACCAACGAGAAGTGTAAGTTTGCTTTACTTGGACTGGTGTTCCTTGGGTTGATGCTGACTTCCCTGGAATAGTGCCGCCCGGCGACCCCGGCCAGTACCGGTCTCCATTCTTGAAGGACTTTATTCACCTGGTAAGCCTTGGATCAACCATAAGTCTATCCCCGGCCTGGTCATGTTGACTGACTTGTGTAGAACGTCGCGATGATGACGTCCAACAACGCGCTGGTGCCGGACCCGGACAAGCAAGACGACCTCGCGTCACAATGGTGGCAGTGGCCGATCCTGCACGTGGGCCTGCGCATGTGCGGCTGGGACGACAAAATCGTCAAGTACTTCCTCCTCGGCAACCCGCTCGTATACTGGGGCTCCACCGCGGGTCTGGGCATCTTTGCCCTGCTGGTGGCCTGGTACACCCTGCGCTGGCGCCGCGGCTTCAACGAGCTGTCGCAGTTCGACATCGACCAGATCCACTACGCCGGCCTGTACCCCGTCATCGGCTGGTTCCTGCACTACCTGCCCTTCGTCATCATGGCCCGTGTCACCTACGTCCACCATTACTACCCGGCGCTGTACTTTGCCATTCTCACCTTTGGGTTTTTGACGGACTGGTTCCTGAGGAATCGCAAGGCGGCTGTACAGTGGGGTGCGTATACCGTCCTGGATGTGACGGTCATTGGGCTGTACATCTACTTTATCCCGATCTGCTGGGGTATGGAGGGGTCGAATCGGCAGTTTGGGTACATGAAGTGGTTTGACTCATGGCGCATGTCGGATGTGTAAAACACGCACGCGCCATGTGGCGGATGGGTGGGTGGTCCACAGGAAATTCTATTTTATTTTGTTGCCGATGGCTCGGTTAGACGAGGAGGATGAGGAAGAAAGGAGGAGGAGATTTTGGGGGGGGGGGGGGGGGGGACTGCTGGAACTTTGCATGAGAGATAGGAACATGGAAATAATGGGTGGGACGCGGGAAGCCGGCGTTTGCGAAGATAGAAAGATGATCTAATTGCCTCTCATTTTTGGAGTGTACGATGTCTGTGGTGGTAGTAGTGGACGGGCAGGTGAGATAGAAGGAAGAAATGTGACAAAAATATATCAAGCAGCAGTTCAATGCCACGACGGTCCGGGTGAAAAAGCACTTCCCAGTCAGACCGCTTGGATCTCAGCTCTCCATGACGAGGAAGGCGAAGTTTTTGATGACTCTCCGAGATGCGCATGCAGAAACAAATAGCTGTCGTATGCTCCATATTATTGCCTGGAAACCAGCGCTCCCTCATCCTCGTTCCGGGTATTATTCCTAGCAGTATGATACAGCTAGTTGGTTTCCCGACCCCCCGACGATGTAATCCCCCTCTGCCCTAGGTCATCTCAAGTAAACCAAAACACAGGCTCTCTCTCAAGTAATTACCCCTAAATATCCCCCCCATCCATCCATCCTAACAACACCCACCCCCCAACCCCTTCCCACCACCCCCTCCCGTCAACCTCACGCCGCCTCTCCCATCCCGACCCCCACCACCTATCCCCCCGCTACCTCCCGCACTATGCCCCTTCACCCCCGACCGCCGATCATTCAGATCGTATTTGCCCGCCTGGATGTTCTGAAAAATGCGCTCGGCCACATGCATGAAGGCCTTCTCGACGTTGGCGCCGCTCTTAGCGCTGGTCTCGACATACTCGAGCACGCCGTTGCGTCGGGCCCAGGCCTCGGCTTCGGCGCGGGTGACTTCGCGTTTGTTACCGCTGGTTTTTTCTGAGGCTGATGCTGCTCCTGTTCGGCCCCCGACTGTTTTTTGTGGGGTGGTTGTTGTGCTGCTATCTTGGTTGTTGTTGTTGTCGTCGTCGTCTTCGGCGACGGCGTCGGGCGAGGCAAGGTCGGCTTTGTTCCCCACGAGGACGACGACGATGTCCGGTTCAGCGATCTGCCGCAGGTCGTTGAGCCAGTCGGTGACGTGTTGGAAGGTGGATTTGCGGGTGAGGTCGAAGACTAGGAGGGCGCCTGAAGCGCCGCGGAAGTAGGAGCGCGTGACGGATTTGTAGGTTTCTTGCCCGGCGGTGTCCCAGAGGGAGAGCTTCATGTGTTTTTGGGGCGGTTGTGGGGTTTTGGATTTGTCGTTGGGGATGGTCGGTGGGGGTGGGAGGCCGGTTGGGGCTGTCGCGCCGTCTGCTGCTGCTGCTGCTTCTGGGGTTGTTGGTGCTGCTGTTGGTGTTGTGCCGTCGGCGCTTGGGGAGCTGTCGAGCCGAGAGGCGGATTTGGTGATGTCGGAGTAGGGCGGCCCGACGGGCACGATGCGCGAGCCGAATTCGACGCCGATGGTCACATCGTGGTGTGGAACAAAGCGCCCTTCGCAGAGGCGGATGGTGAGCGAGGATTTACCGCAGCCAGAATCGCCGATGCATACGAGTTTTGCGATGTAGTCCCACGGTGCGGAGGACATGGAGGCGACGGCGTTGGGGGTGTTGGCGATGCCGGGGTAGGGTTCTTGAGCTGGCGGTATTGGTGGGTGTCGTGGGGAAGTCGAGGTTTGGTCGTCAAGAATCGGAGCTTCAAGATGCCGCGGTTGCGCTTTTTGTTCTTATTGCTTGATGTTGCTCACGCTGACAGAAGCTTACGGCTTTGTCGAGCGCTTTGGGTGCTTGGTATTCCGTAATCTGAGACACGGACGCTAACGCTTCTAGTGCGGAAGTCGACAGCCAAGATGAATGGAACAAAATAAGAAGCGGGTATCAAAAGTCGAATAATCGCAGGACTTAGGGCAGGTCTCAGATTGAGACAATTTGAGTTGAGAGGAAGTTGAGGTCAGGCGGGCTTTGGAACCTGCATTTGGGTTAATTAACTACTACCTACTAACTACCTACTACCTATGTATGTAAGTGAGTGACGGTGGAGTTGCAGCAGCACAGCTCTGTGGTCGTGGCCTGGGCTCCTGGGTTCTTCAGGGGAGCTGCAACCAATCCAGCAAAGAGCCAGAACTTGGAGCTGCACCCATGGAGCGGAGTGATCATCAGCAGGCCTCCAGAGATCGGCAGCTGAGGAGGGCTATCAGTGACGACACACCCGATAAGGGACGGTTCTCCAAATCCGTCGCTCAATGTGGAGAAACAGCACCGAATTCCATCATGCCCGAAAAGCATCACGCGACGATGCCGTAGTGTGGGTGGTGAGTGTTCCGGGATTTCCTGAGCCATCTATTTCATTTTTCCACAGGTTCCTGGAAGGATATAATCCTTTCTTTGTATTCGTAGTGTACTTCGTATTGTTTCGTCTCTGTGCCATCGTGCACCTTTAAAACACAACTGTACAAATCGCTGAGTGCAAAGGTTAGGTAATTACGTCGTCATGTGCTTGCCTGACGCAGGCAGGTACATTATGCATCAAGGCATCATTCTCGGATTGAAAACCACTGTTAGAAGCATATCAGCGGGGACCACTTCCCGCACTGGCGCTAGTTAGTGGGCCCTGGCCTGGTGCCCCTGGTCACCGACACCCACCCGCCAGTCACGCCGGCAGCCCGCAAGCAGCTGCTTTCCGCCTTGTGCCTCGTGAGTAACCAGCCCTCCCCCAGTGGCTGCCTGCCTTTCTTCTCGCCCTACAAACTTTTCATTTTCGTCTCTGCACGACCAAACCGCCTCATTTACCTCACCGGCCTCAACCCAGCCGATTCGGCGTCTTCAAAATATACCGCTCTTCCATCTTTGACTGCCACGCTTTTACAGCGCCCTAAGCACCTGAAACGAGACCTCAGCGGGCCATGATTACATCGGCCCAATACCACCTGCGCCTGTAGAGTTCCATTGATACGGCATCCGGGCTGCATCAAAGCACCCTTCTGACCCGAACCAGCCGACTCCTTGCTTGGGCCAACAACGCGCGACCCCCAACCCGTCACCCCGCAACTCTATCCTGCTCAACCCACCTTTGTTTTCACTCAAAGGACAAACACCGAAAGCCCCCATCATCGAGCGCGCCTCTCCTGTAGCATTGTGTGGAAACAAGCACTCCACGGCAGGGGGTGACGGGAAACTGCCGAAATGTTCTCCGAATGTGAGTTGCTGCCCTCTGATTATGCATCGCGCCATCTCTCTTGGAGCGAGTGTGTTCCTCTCGGTCATGAACTCTACTCACTCTCCCCATCAAGACGCATCTAGATTCCTTGCACAGTCGCAATCTCGACTCTCGAATTTCGCGGGGCAAGACAACGGCGACCGCCCATCACGAACGACCGACTGGCAAAGCCGCGGGTCACGACTCAACTCGGGCCGACCTTTCCTAGGCAGGGGCGGTGGGAACCCATACGGACAGTCCGGCGGCTCGCGGTTCGGTAACCTAGCTACCTTCGGCTCGCGATACGCGACCAACGATGCGCCGCTGTTCCAGGCCACGCTCGAACACGATGATGAGGATGAGGAGGATGCGGCCGAGCTATTTGCGCTACAGCGGTCGCGGCGGGTCTTCGCAGCCGGTCCGCTAGAGGAGAGCGCCGAGACGGATAATGATGATAGCCGGGGGTCGTTAGAAAGGGGCCGTGAGGGTGGGGAGTCGGTACTGGGGGAACAACGCCGGGGGATTAAGAGCAGTTGGAACGGGAGTAGGAGCCACGCGCGCCAACCTCTCAGGGGCGACGCATTGAGGAGGGATAACGGGGGAAAGCACCGGCGGAGCTCGGGGGAAAGCGACGATAGCCCGGGGATGGAGGATGTTGCGCTGCAGTCTACCATTGCCGATAGCGAGCCACCCGAGGATCTCTTGATGGAGCGCGCCGCGGAAGATAACGACGACCCCCCGGCTTTTCAAAAGTTTCAGTCGACCGCGGGTCCGACACCACAGTTTCTCGGAAGGAATTCCGCCGCAGATTCGGAACTTGGCCTGGAGCGCCCGCCAAGCTCAGTCGATACGAACTTGAACGATGCCACGCCAACAGCACACGCAGCCGAGGTTGAAATCTTTAAGCACGACGCCTTTTTTGCTTGGCTCTACCTGATCGCGCAAGCATCACTCTTCTCGACCTTCGTCCTAGTCATGCTGCACACTGGCAGTGCTGACGGGCCGTTGGGGGATACTATTTACACCACGTTGCGGGCGTCGTTTCACTTGCTGGCGGTGGACACTCTTGTGTCTATCATCGTCTCCTTCGTTTGGCTGGCAGCGCTTCGGTCATTCGTAAAACCGCTGGTGACCGTGGTCATGGTTGCGGTGCCAGTGATTTTGATATCGTTTTCGCTGTACCCCTTTATCTCCAGCTACCAGTCGACAAACGGCAGTTCGCGCTTCCAGGACACGGTCATGCGGTGGGCGGCCGGTGTCCCGGCGATTTCAGCCGTGGTTTGGTTGTATTTGGTGTACAAGGGCCGGCACGCGATCCGGTCGGCTGTGGGCATCCTCGAGTTTTCAAGCCGTATCCTAGCTGCCAACTCGGCTCTCGTCCTCGTGGGTATGGGCTGCCTGGCCGTGGTGGTCGCGTGGACTTGGATCTGGCTCTTCATGTTCACGCGCGTATTTATGGGGGGCGATTTCTCGAGCAAGCTGGCCCGGTTCATCATCAGCGCGTCTAGCTGGTGGCTCGGGGTCTACTTTGTTCTCATGTACATGTGGACCACATCCATCATCTCCGGAGTTCAGCGGAGCACCACGGCAGCCACGGTATCGCAGTGGTACTTTCACCGCAACGCGGTACCCGCCCCTTCGTCCCGCGAAGTGGTCTCCGCGGCCCTCGGCCACGCCCTGACCACCATTTTTGGCACCATCAGTCTCTCCACCCTGCTCGCCCTCGCCATCCGCCTCCCACTGCTCGTCCTCCCACAGCGGCTGGCTAACATCCTCAGCATGTTCATGTACCAGTTCATCCCGACACCCATCGCTGCGCTGACGAACCCTTTGACCCTAACCTATGCGGCGATCCACTCGCAGCCCCTGGCCGTCTCATCGCGCGGGCTCAGCCAGATGGACTTTATCGCGCCACAGCGACCTACCACTACCCTAACACCTGCCGCGCTGCCCAAAGACAACCGGTACTCGCCGCTGCTTCCGTACCGCCTGGCCAAGCTAATCTTGCACGCCACGCGGTTTATCATGACCATTGCGCTAGGTTTTGCCGGCTGGGTGATGACGGCGCGACAGTTGCGGGTGGAACAACCCGACGGTGGGCTGGGTGTTCGTGGCAGTGCGTATGCGTACGTCGTAGGTATGGTGGCCAGTTTTATTGGATGGGGCATCCTGGGTGCGATGGAGGGTATTCTAACAGGCATCGTCGATGCTGTGGTCATTTGTTATGGCAGCGAGAAACGTATGGCGACGGGTGCCGGTGGCTACTGCATGGAGGCGGCGTATCTGTTTGGGGATCGGCGGGGGGGGCAGGATAGGGAGGAGCTTTACTGAGGCTACTCTCCTCTCCCCCCCTCTCTCTATCGTCGTTCCCCCCTTTTCTTTTCTTTTCTTTTCTTTTTTACCCCTTACAGCGAGGCGTTCAACGGAGGATCATCATCTTCATTCACAGACACACACAGAGACACGGATTTAACGGGAAATTGGATGGTATGGGAGGGTTTTCACTGTGTGATCTAGCAGAAAGACCAACAGGTCAGTCAGTAGGTATTCGATCAGTCAGTCGGTCGGTCGGTCGGTCGGACATTCATCGGAAGGAAGACATGCATTGCTATGGCATCCACGCATTTTATTGGATTTGGATAAGTAGACAAGAAAGAGGATGAAAATAGCGAGGTCCGATGTATGAAATTGGGGAAACGGTGCACAATATCTTGCTCTTCCGGGTTCGCCGGCGACCGGCATTTTCTTTGCACTGGGCTACGACCATTGCAACATGCAATTAGAATTTACTTCTAAACGGCGCGTGTGGCTTAACCGAGGCGACTTCTGGAGTACTGATTAACAGTAATGGCGGGTATGAGCACGTATTTCCAAGACATGGCGCAGCCCACGGCCGCGCGTTCCTCTACACTATAGGGCCCCATCGGCCATTTCACCTTGAAAACACAATTCGAGATTTTGTCGTCGGCGCAAGGATACGCACCCTCGGTGTGGCTGATTCCGGGGGTTCGGGGGTAAGTGGCGTATTCGGTACTGCACAGAGACCTCGAGAAAAACCCCAGAGACATATTAACAGGCCCAAATCGGGGCACAGTTAACTATGGAAATGCTCGTAATTCCAAAACATTCCTTGGCCCTCAACTCTTCGACCACCGATCCCTGAAAATTCCCGCGGCTTGAACCGAAGGGTTTCCTGCCTCGCCTGCTTCGTCTTCCAAGTGTGGCTGTGCCTCGGGATGAGATGCTCACGTTGCCCCTCACCTCACCCCACCAAACTGAGCCCACCCAACTAAGCCCACCCAACTAAGCCCACCCAACTAACACGCTCAGGCAAGCGGAGAATCAACGCCCGCTTCGCCCATGAGCCACTCGCTCACTCTCTCCGGAGTGTCACGGATGGGGATTTGCCGCTTTTTGAGAACAGATTACGCCACAAGGTCTGCGCATGAGTTAGTTTAGGAGCTCAGGTATCTGTGCTCTACACTACTGGGGTCAATGGGAGGCCTCGGAGTTCTTTTTTATCCCGTTGAAACTCTTCTGTGACCGGATCCAGCACTTTGTTCTTTACACTCCAACCTACATCCATTCCTCGAACGTTATACCCCCGCCATTCCCGGTTTCCCCCCTTTGAACCCCACTCTTGTCCCATACAACCTCGATCCGTCTCGACCTCATTCAGCGCAACGGATTGAGCCGACTGTTCTTTTGTACCTCGATCCGGTTGATTGTCTCTTTTTCATCTTATCCCGTCCGTGAGCTTTTAATTCATATTACAAAATGGCCGACTTCGAGGCACCTCTGGGTCCTCCCCCACCTAAAGTCCCTGAGGGCTGGACCGCTCGTTATAACGAGCAGTACAAAGAATGGTAAGCACGCCATATTCCCTCCCAGTCGGTCTCAGTCGGTCTCAGACGGTCCAGCTAGTGACCATCACCGCCATCACTATCGCTGTCACCGTAGCTGCCACACGCAGCCAACAGCTAACCTATCCCCCAGGTTCTACGTAAACCTCTACACCAAAAAATCCCAATGGGACAAACCCACCGAGCCCGCTCCCCGCCCCAACGACGACGGTGCCCCAGCCGGCCCGCCCCCCTCCTACTCCGCCGGCGACAGCGGCGCCCACCACGGCGCCTCCGACGCTAAGGTCAACCCGTACGACACCAACCCAAGCCCGAGTAACCCGGCTGGCGGAGCCGCGGCGTCATACATCAACAGCGCGCCGGGCCCATCGCATAGTCCCCAGCCACCGTTCGGCAACAACAACAACAACAACGAAAGCGAAGACGAACGTCTCGCCCGCCAGCTTCAGGCTGAGGAGGATGCTCGTGCCCGGGGTAGTCACAGTAACAGCCCGTACCCCCCGGGCGGAGGCGGACAGGATTACAATCAGGGTGGTGGTTTCCCGGGGCAGTTACCCCCGAGAGAGGAAAAGTCTCGCGGTTTGCTGGGGAAATTGTTAAGCGGCGGGAAGAAGACCAGCCACGGCGCCGCGGCGGGTGGTGGACTCGGCGGGATTCTGGGCGCCGCAAGCCACGGGGGCCACCATGGCCAACACGGCGGGTATCCCGGCGGCGGGCACTCGCCGTACGGTGGCCCGCCCGCACCTTACGGCGGACAGCCTGGGTATGGGGGATACCCCCCGCAACAGCCGGGGTATGGCGGATATGGAGGACAGCCGGGTGGGTATGGCGGACCGCCGGGGGGCGGGTACTACCCGCCGCAGCAGGGGGGTTATTATCCGCAGCAGCAGCAGGGCGGGTATAAGAAGTCCGGGGGGAGTGGGATGGGGATGATGGCGGGAGGTGCGGCGCTGGGGGTGGGCGCGGGGTTGTTGGGGGGTGCGTTGATTGCGGATGCTATTCATGATGATGAGCAGGATGCTTATCAGGATGGGTTTCGTACGTGATGGTCCCTTTTCTTACTCTTACTCCCCTTCCTTCTTTTTTTTCTCCTCCCCCCGCTTGGTTGATTGGGATGAGTTGCTAACGTGTTTTGTGTATGAACAGAGGATGGTGCGGATTACGATGATGGCGGTGGCGGCGACTTTTAGGCGTTGTGATGGAGTTGGGTGAGACGGCGAAGGGGGGAGAATGTGCGATGGGAAGATGGGAATAAGTGAGGACTTTAGGGTTTCCCGGATGTTTGCATCTGATGTCGTTGCACTACAGCAACCGCGATTGGATACACCGATGGAGAGTTGTATGCTGGTTTGTTGCCTCGTAACTGGGTTTGTTAGATTGCGTTTGCACGTACATGATTTAGCTGAATACACCATGTAATTGCCTTTCCAACTGATCGATCGTGCACATTAAGGCACACTAAGGCACACTAAGGCACGGCAGATATCAAAATGTACCCTTCTTGTATTACACCTGCCGCCTACCACATCTATACAATTCTACCCTCCGACTCATTAATCCAAACATAACAGAACACTCGTTATCCGGTCTACCTCCTCTTCTTCCCCTCGCCCTTGCCCTTCCCATTTCCATTGTTACCACCACTCCCCTCATCGCCCTTGTTACCGCCCGACCCGGCTAGGAAGGCAGCCATGTCGAAGTTGCCCATCGGATTCGAGTTTTGCCCGGAGGCCGCGCCCATGATGGCGTTCATGGGGCTTTCCTTTTGGCGTTCTTCCCACTCGGCGCGGGTTTCGGGGTCCACTGTTTTTGTTTTCGTCAGTATCTCACGTCACGGTGTCGGTTGGGGAATGATAGGCTATAAAGGTAAAGGAGGGTACGTACTGTTCTCAACCATCTTGGGCATGCCAAAGAAGATGGCCATGCTGACCATACTGAGCAGGATGACGGGGTTCTTGAAGATGCCCATAACCGAGACTATTACTGTCAGTTAGCAGCGTATCCCCATCGATTATTCCCAGTAAGTACCCTGAGGGGCCAGGGAAGAAACAAAAAAAAA